AATTCTTAGACAAAGAGTTCTAAATACTTCCGATTTATTCAAAAATACAATAATCTGCATAATAATCCGTTAAAATGAACAAACCCGTGACTTATTCGTTAAAAATAGGTGATATGAACTCCGCAGCTTTTCACAAACTTCATCCAGGCGATTTTCGGTACCCTGACTTCCAATAGGTATTTTTCGTAACTGAAAAAAAAGCGAATTTAAGTGCTGAAGAAAGCTTAGGGATGAATGGAAAATCAACAAAACCAGATACTAAAACAGTGTTACGAAAACCAACGTATTTAAATTCTACTTCATTATCAGTAGTCCCGCTGCAAGTAGATAAAACATAAAAAACCATGCTTGCTAAGGAGGAAAAATTCGTGGTCCCCAACAAAACACGGAGCAGTGCATGATGGGATGTCAGCAAGTTGCAGCACATTTCCGGTAAAATACTATGCTCTTGAACTAGGCTGAACTACATTAAAAAAAATGTATTATCAGTAAATCAGTTCAAGGCACTATATTTCGTCAAGACTGTCACGGTCAGCAAAGATATCATGAAATAGTAGAATAGAAGGATTGGACTTAAGTGTCATGTATAAGAAGTCTGTCTGTGTTTCATCTCTCAGCTGAAAGACAGATTAGGAAAACATGCTCAACTTCAATACTTACCGAGGAAACATTGTTTAGGTACGCTTTTACGGGATCTGGCGCATTGTACAAATGGGAAGCCATGCAAGTGAAGCCGAGACTGCACAAATCTGCCGATATTGCTTCATCTGTTGCATATTTCGCAATCTAAAATTTGCTAAATTCTGGTAATGATGAATTCGAATTATGACTATAAAACAACCGGAAATCATGATAATAAAGTATTATCGTGATTCCGTTAAGCGAAGAAAAAACTTCCCACATGAAAAATGACCCTGACCGCTTTTCATTGTGGTGCAAGGAGGAAAAAATCAGTTACGGCAGTACGAATTGTGTTTTTCTGTCCATAAAGGACCAAAAACTCGTAAACAAATACAGCGAAGCAGATTTTTTCGGTATTAGTTACTGCTTTTTTTTCATGGAATCTAATTCAAGCATGGAAATACCACTCTGGCGCTACCACGAAGACTGCATTTTGCTCGAAAATGTTGGAAAACTGCACTTTTTTTTCGAAATTTTGAGATTGAACCAAAAAAAAAAACATTAAATCCCCAAATTTCTTGATTCTGTATGACTTAAGAAATCTTAAGACAACTTAAGATCAAAAAAACCAGCAAAAAGTCGTTACCTCCTCTTTACTCACTATACATGAATTAATTTTCCACGGATGCCTTTTATCGGTTAACAACGATTCATCTTCGGCGCAACCAAATATGAACATCAGGAAATCCCGATGCGCAACAATATTTTCAAGGTATTTCCCGGCTTCTTCGGAAACTAGAGTGATCTGAAAAACAACAAAAATAAGGTAAAATTTAACCACTGTTCGTGCCTAAAGAACTTTAGCATGTAGACTCTGTTCTAGCTAATAAAATGTGCAGAATTCTATCAAAAGCCCGTTCAAATGCGACCATTGCAATTCCAGCTTCGGACAGAAAACAGACTTATAAAAGACACATGAAAATTATTCATACTAGTCAGAAGCCGTTCAAATGCTGTCACTGCAATTCGAGCTTTGGCCGAAAAAGTTATCAAAAATCCCTGCCATATTCCTAAAAAAAGATACTGACCAACTGACCAACACTAACAGGCTGGCCATTACCAAGTCGATGAGAGCCGTTAGCCTGTTTTGATGACTAACAAAGTAATAGAATGATATATTAATAAAACAACTAACAAAGTAATAACAGGACGGTATATTAATAGGAAGGTATAAATATTAACAGCGTATGAAAAGATAAGAACAAAAAGGAAAGTAAGAGATGAGAATTACAAAATTCTGTAAATTAATAAAATTATTTTTTAATAATAAGAAATGTTTTGGTCCATTAAACTGGGCACTCCATAACTGGGATCATTCAAAAAATCATACTTTCTTTTTATTCCCTTACTTTTAAACCCTTACTTTTTAGATAAACACATCATCTAAAATTAAAATTACAACTGAATACTTACAGACAACAAAGGGACATAAACGGGATATTTGAATTGTTCCTTGTGTGCCTCATACCACTGCCATGCTTCACCACATCCCATCGATCGTCCATTGTTTTTCAGGACAAGAAATTTATTGTGGAATGCTTCCTGTTCAGCATTGGCCAATTCGCTGAGAGCTAAAATAATTCAAATATAAAAAGGTGACAATCGAAAAAGCATTTTCAAGGAGCAGTAACCTACAACTGTAATATTTTTTGAAGCATCATAATCCATTAATTAATTTCACCCCGCATTAAAATTTGAAGATTTCGGCCGTTTCGTATTTTCCACGATTTGAACTGGCCGTTAATTCAGAAATTATGGTCCAGCCTACCAACGGCCGCAAAAAATTTTTTATCAATTTAACCCACTTCGGCTACCCCACTTGGACCGTCCGCTTCTGATTTGGCCTTCGAGTGGCCATTACTTATCATTGTAATCTATCGCGCCTTCGCCACTTTGGCATTCAGGGTCAACCTGGTTGCTACAATCAGCTTATCAGTGACAGTGAAACCCAAAACTTCTTCAGTACTGATCTCCTATTAGAAACGGAGGAAATGGTCCGAGCAATAGTATTTATCAAGCAACTCTTGCAACAATTCCAGTGGTTCGATTTACAGAAGGCTGTCCGATAGGCAAACTGAAAAAAAAAACGACCTGAACCCCTCGAATATTTGCGTAATGCCAGTACCAATTTACCATCGAAACGAATCACGAAAATGAGACAAACTCATTTTCGTGCATCTAATTTCAGATCAACAACTCCAGCCTAGGAGTATCTACTACACAATATTACACAAAATCAGTTACGAATAGTGAGTAACCTCGTCTTTTGGAATTGATATCAGCAAGGGTATTATTAAGCGTTAGCTTTCGTCGATCCAATTCTTCTTCTTTAGCA